TGTGGAAGATGGGATTCACATGAATTTGAAAGGATTTTCTGAGCCTATCAGGAATAAATGCTCAATGGATGCGGACTCACAGCTTGCTGAGCTTCTGGCAGCACCTCCAGGTGTCGGGCTGGATCCTGCTGATGGCGTTGTGTTCCAGGTGGAGCTGCTGCAAAGCCTCCAGCCCGTACAGCCACCCTTTGCTCACCTCCGTCAGGTTGTTAAAGCCGAGCTGCCTGTAACCGAACACAGGTCAGGGTTCGCTTTATGAAATCACGTCTAAAGGAAATCAGCCCAGAGAGAACTTACAGGACTTCCATGTTGCTGAGGCCAAAGAAGGCTCCGTCCATCAGCCCGGAGAGGCGGTTCCTCTGCAACTTTAAGGAGCGCAGAGTAGGTAGATCCTGGAAGGTCAGGCCCTCCACCCTACGGATCTGGTTTCTGCTCAAATCCCTGGAAAAAAACAAAAGAAAAATGAAAAAACCCTCTTTGTTTAGAGGGGCAAACGTCCTGCAAACAGTAGGTAAGAAGAAGGAGCTTACAGATGCTGCAGGTTGGGCAGCTGGAAGAGCCGGGCCGGGATACTGGAGATCCGGTTATGGCTGAGTTCTAGGACCTGCAGAGTCCCGGCCAGGTTGGCGGCCCAGCCCAACTCCAGCGACGAGATACGGTTGTTGCAGAGGAACCTAAACGGATTAACAGGAGCTAGCTTAGCATACATTCTAATATGCATTACATTTACAAAACAAAAAAAAAAACTCACAAGTTCCTGAGAGGCAGAGCAGGAAAGGAGTCCATCTTTATTTCCACTATTTTGTTGTTGCTGAAGTCGAGTGTTTGCAGGGAGGAGAAGGACCGGAGCTGCTCCTCTGAGATCCCGCCGATCCGGTTGTTTGCTCTGAAAACACAGACGCCATTACTCCAATAACGCTGATATCTGACCACGGTTTCATGCAAAGAGGCAAGTCCTCAAATTCCACCGCAGTATGAAAAAAAAAGTCAACCCCTCACGAAAGCTGCCACCCAACATGAAACCCTCTGACATCACGTTTCTAAGCTAATGCTAGGTGTATTTATCGTAACAGGCAGCTAATTGTCCAATATGACTAACGTCGCTGCTCATCCCATCAAAACAGCCCCAGCTTTAGCCATGTGTTATTTTGTTTATAAGGTAATTACCAACAAGGTATTTAAAAAAGTTACCCGCCAATTACTTGGCTGATGAATCCCGTTCCCTCAGTGAAAGCATGCCTCAGCAGAGGCCAGCAATTTCCTGAGCTGCACGCCTCCTAAATTGCAGTGCAGGGACTGCTTGGTTATAAACAGAGCTGCACAGTGCCCTCTTTGTGAGGGGGGAGAGAGTGGACGGGAGGGAGGGAGAGAGAGAGTCCCTCCAGTGCTCCAGACTACAGGCCCCGTTTCAGCGGCGGCGCTTTGCAGCGTTTGGACTTATTTTATGGAGACAAACACGAGGAAAGGAGATTTCCTGATTAATTTATGTCTCGGTTCTTGATAAAAAAGGTGCCATTTAGCTGCATTTAAACATCTTTTTTTTTTGTCCCCTCTAAATCAGACAAAGAAAACATCCATCCATTCATTTTCTGTCACGCTT